ATCCTGGCTTTGACTAGAGAATGCTGCTGTTGTGTTCTTGGGCAACACACTTAACCTGCCTGGTGGTGGTCGGAAGGACCGGTGGCGTCAATGTTCAGCAGGCATCACCTCTGTCATTGTGCCCCAGGGGTGCTGTGGCTACATCGTAGCTCATCACCATCAGTGAGTGAATGGATGAAGACTGATTGTGTTATGAAGCACCTTGGGGGGTTGTAGAACCCTAGGAAGGCCCTATAAAAAAACAGGGTATATATTACTTATTTAAATAAAATTTTAACGAGTTAATAAAAAACAAGCTGCTAAACTGCTGCAGCCCATTGAACTTCACCAGGAAGCTATCTGGAGTCTGTCACCCCCTGCTGATAAGTCTAAAGCAGCTCATGGTTGAATATGAAATTGAACTACTTGTTTATAAAGACCTTTCCTGGAAGCCCAAAGTACCATACATAATGCAGAGACACATGAAAACACTGTAAAAACAAACATTATATTAAAATAAAAGCATAAAACACAAAAAATACAATAATTAAAAGCAAAAAGAGGGCAATCAGAAAAAAAATTTAAACATTAATAAACCAGCAAATTTCTCTGAAATAAAGATTTAGTTTGGCTTTGAAAATGCCCAGAGATGTGGACTGTTTTTTTCTCTGATGGAAGTAGAGCTAAGTTGTCTGAGGCTTTATGCCTCTGGTAGGGTCCCCCATGGCAAACAGGTCCTAGGTGAGGGATCAGACAAAGTGCAGCCCGAAGAGCTCTTATGATGAATTATATAAATGGAAACCAAGATTCCCTCGCCTGGACGTGGGTCACCGGGGCCCCCCTCTGGAGCCAGGCCTGGAGGTGGGGCACGTTGGCGAGCGCCTGGTGGCCAGGCTTTTACCCATGGAGCCCGGCCGGGCACAGCCCGAAGAGGAAACGTGGGTCCCCCTTCCCATGGGATCACCACTCGTGGGAGGGGCCAAAGGGGTCAGGTGCAGTGTGTGACGGGTGGTAGTCAAGGGGCGGAGACCTTGGCGGTCTGATCCTCGGTTACAGAAGCTGGCTCTTGGCACATGGAATGTCACGTCTCTGGTGGGGAAGGAGCCTGAGTTTGTGTGTGAGGTTGAAAGGTTCCAACTACAGTTGTGGTCAGAAGTTTACATACACTTGTAAAAAATATAATATAATGGCTCTACTGAGTGTCCCGTTATTTCTAAAACTCTGATTTTTCTCTGATAGAGTGATTGGAACAGATACTTCTTTGTCACAAAAAACATTCATGAAGTTTGGTTCTTTAATGTCTTTATTATGGGTTAACAGAGAAAAGTGATCACATTTGCTGGGTCACAAATATACATACAGCAGTGCTAATATTTGGTTACATGTCCCTTAGCCATTTTCACTTCAATTAGGCGCTTTTGGTAGCCATCCACAAGCTTCTGGCAAGCTTCTGGTTGAATCTTTGACCACTCCTCTTGACAGAATTGGTGAAGTTCAGTTAAATTTGATGGCTTTCTGACATGGACTTGTTTCTTCAGCACTGTCCACATGTTTCCAATGGGGTTTAAGTCAGGACTTTGGGAAGGCCATTCTAAAACCCTTATTCTAGCCTGATTTAGCCATTCCTTTACCACTTTTGATGTGTGTTTGGGGTCATTGTCCTGTTGGAACACCCAACTGCGCCCAAGACCCAACCTTCGTACTGATGATTTTAGGTTATGTTTAAGAATGTGAAGGTAATCCTCCTTCTTCATTATCCCATTTACTCTCTGTAAAACACCAGTTCCATTGGCAGCAAAACAGCCCCACAGCATAATATTCCCACCACCATGCTTGACTGTAGGCATGGTGTTCTTGGGGTTAAAGGCCTCACCTTTTCTCCTCCAAACATATTGCTGGGCATTGTGGCCAAAAAGCTCGATTTTTGTTTCATCTGACCACAGAACTTTCCTCCAGAAGGTCTTATCTTTGTCCATGTGATCAGCAGCAAACTTCAGTCGAGCCTTAAGGTGCCGCTTTTGGAGCAAGGGCTTCCTTCTTGCACGGCAGCCTCTCAGTCCATGGAGATGCAAAACACGTTTGACTGTGGACAATGACACCTGTGTTCCAGCGGCTTCTAATTCTTGGCAGATCTGCTTTTTGGTGATTCTTGGTTCACTCTTTACCCTCCTGACCAATTTTCTCTCAGCAGCAGGTGATAGCTTGCATTTTCTTCCTGATCTTGGCAGTGATGAAACAGTGCCATGCACCTTATACTTACAAACAATTGTTTACACTGTTGCTCTTGGGACCTGCAGCTGCTTTGAAATGGCCCCAAGTGACTTTCCTGACTTGTTCAAGTCAATAATTCGCTTTTTCAGATCCATGCTGAGCTCCTTTGACTTTCCCATTGTAGCGTTTGTGGGCGTTTGTATCCAATGAGCCCTATTTACCTGGCCTAAGAGAAGTCACCAGCTGTAGTCACTCATAATCACTCACAAGAAGTTAAGAGGCCATGCTATGAAGCTCAGTTCACTGACACGTTTCTAAGTCACCTAAATTGCTAGATCATGTTGCTGTATGTATATTTGTGACCCAGCAAATATGATCACTTTTCTCTGTTAACCCATAATAAAGACATTAAAGAACCAAACTTCATGAATGTTTTTGTGACAAAGAAGTACCTGTTCCAATCACTCTATCAGAGAAAAATCAGAGTTTTAGAAATAACGGGACACTCAGTACAGCCATTATATTATATATTTTACAAGTGTATGTAAACCTCTGACCACAACTGTAGATATAGTCGGACTCACCTCAACACATGGCTTGAGAGGGGTTGGACTTTCTACCACTCTGGAGTGAGGCGCCATGTTTTTTGAAACATTAGACATATGAAAAATCTGGTAATTTCCACTTTCTGGAAACATTTATCAAGAGTCAGTCCTCAGATAAGGACCAAGTTTGAAGTTTTTCTGTTTGTTCATCTTGACTCCACCTGTGGGCTCTCTAAATCTGTTTGGAGTTTTACTAAACTTGTCATTTCACTCCATGCCCCCTGAGATGCCACATAACTCCTCTGGGATGTCTAAGCCCCCTTGAATCACTTTTTAATGGTGTCAAGACTGCAAGGCAAAAATAATCTGAAAACAAAGACAACAAATCACACAGACACACACAGGTTTGTAACAGAGCCCATATATTTTCTTCAGCAAAATACAAATACTAGCACAAATCTGAGCAAGGGATTTCTGTACAGAATCTGCAACAACAGATGTGCACTTGGTTTGTCTCTGGTGGCGACAAAAGGCCAGCTCATGCCGCTAACAATCTCTTAAACCTTCAGGCCGTGGTTATTAGAAGCATTAGTGCCCGGAGCATATGCGGGATTACAGCCCAAGGTCTACATCTCTAATGCAGAGGACATTCACTCATGTCGCCAGGTGAAAATTAAGTTAGGTACAACAATTTTATTGGAGCTTTTGAGGTACAGATGAGACAAGAGGTCCAGCAGGAATGAATGAAATAATCAGATCAAACGATGAAGATAGATGGGAGTCTCCTCTTTTAAAGGCTTCGACCCACGCCCAGCAGGACGAGCTCCTGACCCTCACATCCCTCGTCGGAGACAGGAGTGAAGTCCAGAGCCCATGCAGCTTGATGAGGGGACAGCAGACCACGGGTAGGGCTCGGCCACCCGTGGTCTGTCACTAAACTCCACAATCGTTTCATTTAGCTGCTGGCTTTTACAGTCGAGACTGTGGAGAGGTGCTGAGGGTTTCAGCTCCAAATATACAGTTTTCAGCCAAAATATTCAAATATGAAGAACCCTCAGCCACCTCTGTCCCTCCATAATAATAATAATAATAATGATAAAAATCATGAGCACAACAAAAAAAAAAAATAATAATCTAAACGTGGATGGCTCCCGTCCTGCAGCTCATCTGTACAGCATGTGTGTGGCTGGAGTCAGACCGGCTGAAGCACGGCTCAAACAGTTGTGGGATGTTACTCAGAACATCTGAGGAGATTTTCTGGTTAAAGCTGATAACTCTTGGAGGAACACAAACTGAGAGCTGGATCAGAACCGAACAAAGCTCCAGAATCTGATGAGGATGACTCAGGCATTATTTCTGATGCTATTCTGAAACGTCTCCTGGAGTCCACAGCTGAACCTCAGACCTCCAGGAGTCTAGAAAATATGTTTGTGCTGCAGGAGTATCTTTGTCGTGCTTCTTATGGCTTTAACATCCTCTCTGACCTCAACCTGCCAACGTTTGCTGAGTAAAAAAGGTTTAAATCTTTTTATTTATACTGGAAGACAATATTTATATTATCAGGACTTCAGAGGTGAAAATCGTTCAACAGGAACATTTTTAAAATAAGTAGAATTTGTGAATCCAAGAGTTTGAAAATTAGAATGTGAACTGTTCCTGAGTCTTTTAGGATCATTTTAATCATAATATGACTCTTAAAGATAATATATGTGAATAATTAAAGTGAGATTTAGTTTTTGATAAAACGCAAAGATTTACTTTCTCCACCATGAAAATGTTTCTACAGAAGCCCATTTGTGACAAACCAAACAGCAGCTCTAAAGTGCCCTTATGTGTTTGAGTTCACAGATTCTGCTTCCAGAGTCTCTCCTTTCTGCTAACTGAACATTTATTCGCAAGGTTGTTTCTTTGGGTTTTTATCTGAAGTAAATCCAGACTCAGGTTTTCAGTGTGAGATCCAGTCTTCACCTCCACATTTTTGTGGATCTGGGTCACAAAGCGACTCAAATAACTGATCAAAACTTCAGAGCATCTTCACAAATAGAGAAATTTAATCAACATTTTTTTCATGCAACCTGTTGCATTTCTGTTCTCCGACGACAACCTCCATCATCCATCTCAGCCTCTCCCTCTGCTTTAGAACATCACAGAACCAGATGTGTCAGCGGATCCCGTTTGATCAGACCAGGTCTGTGTTTGTTAAAAAGCCTTAACTGTTCACTTCCTCCTACACATTCGTTCCCCCCCCCCCCCCCCCTTCATACCCCCCCCCCCCCAGTCTTGTTTAAATGTGCAACACGCTGACATACAGTATCTGTGTTGAACCTGCAACGGGACGTGTGTAACCGAGAGCACCTGCAGGGGTCCACGAAGCGTTAAAACTCACCAGTAGCTTTACTGTTCAGAGTACCAGACTTCTTCAGCTTAACTTTTCTGTTTGCATCCATGAGCAGTTTACATCTGTTATTTACTTACAACCCCCACCCTATCTCCCCCCCCCCCCCCACACACACATGCATGCACGCACACACGCACGCACGCACACACACGAAACAAGCAGTAAATGGACAAGTTTGGTTTCTGAGCTGAAAACAGTTAGCGATGATTCTACATCTTACTTAAACATTTCAGGTGGACTTACTGGGACATTTAAGCCATTCTGACAAGTGTTACTGTGTAAAAGTTAACAACAATTATCACTATTCTATCCATTGTGGACAACCTCCTTAACAGAGAGTTAGAGTTAAGCTTTGTGGGATTGATGAGCTAAAGGCTAGTCAGACTGCAACCAAGCCCAAACGGTTTCTGCTGCCCTAAAACATCCACAGGCTCCCAAATTCTAGAGGTTTTACATCAACATCTACAATGCTGTCAGTTACACATTACAGAGTTGTTTCTACAGAAATGGTCATTAATTCCAGGATTCACAATAAGTGAACATTTAGCTGGGTTTGGTGATATTCACTTTGTAAACAACCACAACATTCCATAAATAAGCATGGTCAAATAAAGGTGTAACATGAAACTGACAGAGGTGAGAAGGTTTATATAAATGTCACGTGGATTAGTGTGTAATTTTGGAGATTGGACCAATTTAAGATGGCAGCAGCACACTTTGGTTTCAGCTAGTTCAGACTAGCTGTTAGCCCATCGATCCTGCAGGACGTAGCTCTTGTAAACTCTTAGATTATCTGAGTATATTTGGTCTGGCATTCATCAGAGAACTGATTTGTCTCAACGAGAAATAAGATCGCTATTTCTAAATGGAATTTTCTTGTTCCATTAGACCAGGGCTATTCAAGTTTGGGCCTCGAGGGCCAGTAGTGGCTTATCTGCTGCAGCACACTAGATTCAGTGGTGGAGTCGCCTGTGCAGCAGCTCATCAGACTCTGCACAAGCCTGTTGCTTGAAATCAGGTGTGTTGAAGCAGAGTTAACTCGAGGCCCAGAATTAAATAGCCCTGCATTAAGACGGATAAACCGAGAAGGAAGTGACGCCATCATTAGCGGCTAGCTTTGAAGAAGCTTGCAGGAGCGATCGAAACTGTTAGCAAGGTAAAAGAAAAACCTTTCCTGTGTTTTAAAAAAAGAGCTTAAAAAGCATTTAGAAGACAAAACAGAGTGAATTTACTAAAGAATTTCTTGTTAATTCATAAAACGTGATTGTGACAACCAATTCCCCACACGGAGGCTACTGTGAACTAGGGCTTAGGGAAGTTGAGTTCACGGACCGGGCTAACGTCGGATTCTTTCTACTGCTGCTCAACAAAGGTGAGCTCATAACCTGAACACTTAAACACCTGACTTTAGAGTTTCATGTCTGCTGATATAAACAGATTCCCATCCCATGGGGATCCTTTTGGCGCATCGTTAGTATTAATCTTTAATTTTATTGAAAATGTTTTCTTTGCTCCAGAATGACACTTCTTACGGAGACCCGAGTCAAACTTTTGAGCTAAGATTATCCAGTTTGCCTGACCCTGACCTGTGAAGATTGTAACATTCACCTGCAGCATGTTTAAAAGCAGACCCCTCATGTACACATCGCCGTAAAGCACACACACTCAGAAGATAATAATAATAATAATATTAATAATAATAATAATAACACTGTAAGGTAACTCTCTACCCCCTCCCCATAGCTGTGGAGCGGCCCACATCATGTGGCCCAGCTCTCTGACAGCCTCATCCGTTTGACCGACGGGCTGTGGCGCTCATCCTGGCTGGGCAGAGGTTGGAGCAGGAAGCGATCGTTGCTATGGTGATCCTCGCGCTCCTCGCTGCCGTCGTATGAGCTCCCACAGCTGGATACGCTGTCACAAGGGGAACGGCCTGATTCGTGGGGACCCTGGCCACTGCCGATAGAGTATCCAGTGGGGGTCATGCCTCCTCCAAGTCCCGCCCCGACCATGGCCACACTCCGGTCTCTGGGAGGAGAGGCGGGCTCACATTTGATGTTGAGGTTGTGGTGGGTGGATGGGAGGTTTGAGTTCTGGCACAAGTTTCTATGATCAGAGAGAAGGAAAGTGAGGTTCAGGGTTCTCCTCCCATCAGACACACACTATATTATAGGTTATATGGTTGACATGCAGGAAGTAGAGGTGTCCAGAAGACAGACAGTAGGCAGAACCTAGATGTGTGTTTTAGTGTGTGTGTGTGTGTGTGTGTATTACTGAAGTTGACCCTTGAAAATATCCAACTGTGAAAGGTTAAAAAAAACTTTGGTAAAATTATAAAGTGTGGCTTTGTCTGTGAGTTTGGGGACATTACTGGATGCTGTATTTTGACGAGTTGCACCGCAACATACCTGGTGTGTTTTCAGCTTAGGAGTAAAAACACGGAGTCTCCACAGGAATATCAGTTTCTATCTATAATTACATTTTGTCCATGATGGCCTTTATTTTATAGAATTTATTGTCCTAGTTTCTGACCAACTGTGTCGTCTAGTATTTCTTCTTCATGAGCAAATATGGCTGATGACTGAACTTCCTGTTCATGGAGAAGCCAGCAACCCCCGAGTTAGTAAAGTTTAGCAACAGAGTTTTAATCTCTAGATTTTTTTTAATGTTTTTAAAAAAAATGCCATCAGCTTGAAGTAAAGCTGATAAGATATTTGATGTTTGTATGAAAATAGTTTTTTAGTTCCAGATCTTAAAAATATTACATTTGTTTGCTAAACACCAGTCTGGATGATGACCCAACATGGCTGCTGGTGGAGAACAACTATGAGATAAAGTCTCACCCCATGTGTCCAAGTGCTGACTGCTGAAGGCTCTGGATCTGCTGCTGCTGCCAGCTCGTCACCGATCCCAGAGGGGAACCTCCAAACCCGGACAAAGAGGCCAGGTCGCTGCCGAGGGAGAACTCTGAGGAACAAAGGGAAAACCCTTCACACACATCCCAGAAGAGCCAGATCTCATCCAGGAGGGGAAACGCTTCAGTAATGGTCACCTGTGCTGTAGGAGGAGGAGAGCGTGGACGGATACCCTCCCATTCCCGGAGCAGCAATGGAGACAGCAGGAGTGGACAGAGTCTGAGCCGTCTGGGAGTGATTTATTCTCTGGTTCTGGAAAATATGGGAAAAATCTTTCACTTTAAATCATTGGATCAAGAGCAGGAGGTGTTTGATGCCAGGCTTTTCATCTGCAGCGTGTCTGCCTTTGTGTTTTTCTAAAGCAATCAACATCAGAGCAGAGAGAAAATGATTGTAATGTATGCTGACAACCCCCACTACCACCAGAATATCCAACATAGTATCAAAGGTCAAAACACACTGTTTATCTGAGATAAGAGTAACTATTAGTAGTAATATTTGACAAACTACATGTAAATAATGAGGTAGTGTGGCAAATTAATATAAAGACAGATGCACAATATTTGCATGTATGATAAGTTAATTCATGACAAATACATAAAAATTAACATTCCTTTCTAACGTGAGCCTAAGACATGCCCATTTACTTCGGACCATGGGTCTGTGAAAAAGTGAATGATTTATATAGGAGTTTTTTAAAATTGCAAAAAAGGGAAGCAGAAGATAGATATAAAAATATATAAATAAATTGGTAACAATAATTAGGAAGCAAAAATAAGATTATTATGGTAATCTATTGAATTAGAATAAAAATAACACAAAAGCTACTTGGAGAATAATAAACAGTGTGACTAATAGAGAGAAAACAAAATCCAGTTTTCCAAATCACTTTGTCGAGCACAAAAAAGATATTTATGATGATAAAGAAATCACTGATGAGTTTAATGATTTTTTTTGTAAATGTAGGTAGGAGTTTGATGGAGAACAAACCAATAATAGAAGATAAATTGACCACAATGATTAGTACTGTCAACAGTATTGTCCTTGACAAAGTAGACAAAGGTAAAAAACTGTTGAAACAAACGATCAACCGATTATCAGGACCTGGACACAATAACTGTTAAAACCATCATAGAATCTGTCATTGAACCATTCACTTACATTTGTAATCTATCACTTTCTACTGGAAATTTTCCTGACGCAATGAAAACAGCGAAAGTCATTCCTTTGTACAAGAGTGGTGATAAACATAGTTTCAACAAATGTACAGGTCGGTGTCACTGCTTCCACAGTTTTCTAAAATATGGGAAAAAGTATTTGTATCAAGATGAGATAAATTTGTCAAAAAAATAATATTTTAAACAATGAACAATCTGGGTTTAGAACTAAACATTCCACAGCAATGGCAATAATGGAATTAACGGGTAAAATATCAACAGCAATTGACAATAAAAATGACTTTGTTAGTCATTGATCACTCAAGGTTACTTCAAAAATTAAGTCAGTATGGAATAAGAGGTGTGGCTCTTCAATGGGTTAAAACTTATTTAGAAAAAAGGAAACAGTTTGTTCAGATAAAGGACCATAAATCAAAACTATGTGAAATTAATTGTGGAGTGCCACAAGGGTCGGTCCTCTGACCGAAACTGTTCATTTTGTTTATTAACGGCTTGGTCAATGTATCTAAGACACTCGGTACTATTCTATTTGCAGATGATACAACACTGTTTTACTCAGGATCAAATATTGAGGAGGTAGCTAAAGTGATGAATGATGAACTAATTAAAATTAAAAACTGGTTTGATATAAATAGATTGACACTGAATCTTAATAAAACAAATTTTATACTGTTTAGTGATAAAAAGAACAGTGGCGTGTCACTGGAAATAGATGGGATTGGGATTCAAAGAGTAAAAGAAACTAAATTTCTTGGAGATCTTATTGATGAAGACTTGTCATGGAAATTCCATATTAGTTACATAAAAGGTAAAATTGCCAAAACCTTAGGAGTATTACATAGAGTCAAGTTTTTACTGACTAATTCTGGTTTGTTGGCATTGTACAATTCACTGATTGTTCCATACTTGACTTATTGTGTAGAAATCTGGGGAGCAACATACAAAAACTATACACAACCCTTATTTATTTTACAGAAAAGAGCTCTGAGAATCATCAATAATAGTGGCTGTAGAGATCCATCAAACCCATTGTTTATTAAATATAAATTACTGAAATTTCATGATTTAAAAGACTGGAAAATCATACAAACCATGTATAAAGCCAATTTAGGTACTCTGCCAACAAACACTCAGGGGATATTTGAAAAGAGAACTAGTAAGTACATGCTGAAAGAAACTGATGTGTTTACAAAACCTAGATTTAGAACTAAAATTAAGGAATGGAATATATCTGTAAATGGTGTTAAATTATGGAATAACCTTAAAAGGGAAATTTAAAAAACTCTGTCATTTGATATATTCAAAAATGTACCAAACTGAGTGTACTAAATAATTATGAAAATGTAAATTAAATCAGTGATCATGATCACTCTGGAATTTAGAACAGGAAAAAGTTTAAAATGAATCTGTATGTGTGTCTGACAAATGGTAATTATATATAAATTGATTATTTCTACTGGAAAAGGGAGAAGAAATTATAAAATGTTTTTCTTCATTCTGCTCCTTTTCGTTCAAATTAGATTTTTTGTTATGTATTTCTTATTGTTCATGTTTTATTTGTTTTTATTTTGAATGAAATAAACAAAGAACAAAAAAAGTCAATGGGGCAAAAAAACGCAATTTTCTAATTCCACTTGTTATGTGCCATAGATTTCACATATGATGTTTGTGAATTTTAAAGATGCATTTTGATGCCATGAATGCGCTTATTTTCAAACGGGGGGAAAGTTATCTTAGGTTTTATGTGAAAATACGTCCAGGACTACAAATGCACCCCACCAAAGTGACGTCATCGAACAGACATGGAGAAGAGCAGGGAAAAAATGGCTACGTTTAGCGAACTTTGCCGTGTGGTAAGTGGCATCTACGCTAGGGGAGAGGAGATCCTGTGGTGATGTCATATATGCAAATAACTGATGTCCAATTTGTAGTCATGTTAATTACGAATTTTTACAAGCTGAAAAATCCTAAAGTACGTGACAGGCGTGGTTGGAACACACATCATAACTTTTCATTTCAATTGAAGTACACCATATGTGCGATCCAGGACCTAAGGCAAAGCGGATTAGAAAATAGCTCTTTTAGCTCCATTGACTTGCATTCATTTTTTCGTTCTTCCGGAGACCCATGAGCCTATGGGAAAGGGAGGAGACATAGGCTCCTTATTTAGTTTGATGGGTTTTCTATTCCTTATTCAGCTGTCTGACCATTCTGATGTGACTTTTCTCAAAAACTGTTAATTAAAACAGTTTTATTCACAACAACAAAGGCCACAAAGTGCTAACTCACATTAAGTTAGCTGGAGGTCTATTTACGATGCTGTTGTTATGGTTAATATTAACTTAAAAAGTGGCTGAATGAAGATGTAGGAGCAAAACAGATACTAGTCTCCCTGTATGATACAATATGACAACCTAACTCTTATTTCTGAACATCTCCTCCTACTCAGTGCTGATAAAATTACTCACCAACATAAGGTCAAAGTCCTCACACTGGAGCGCAGCGTTAAAACACAAATCCCAGTTAGTCTCTGAACATTAAAACTGACCCATAGTAAACACAATGGTGACTCACAACAGTTGGCATGTTGGTGCACTTGTTGGAGGGGGGCATCAGAGTGCGGAGGTCGGGCTTGCGGCTCAGGCTCATGTGAGGAGGACTCTTGTCCTGCAGGTTTTTGGAGATGCTGCCTGGAGACATGAGGCCAGGGGAGGGGCAGTGGGTGCTGAAGCTGCCGTTTCCTGAGAGGAAAAGACGAAGATGTTAGGTATCACCTGAATCTTCCTCTGACCTGCTCTCAGTTTGCTCTCAGTTTAATCTTTGATCAGCCTGTTTTTAGTTTTTACCCGATTAGTAGACACAAAGCTGCTCACGATTTCTGATCTGCATGGATGTTCCTGTCTAGCATACACGACCACATCGGTGTAAAAATAGCATCTAAGTTTATTAACAAAGAAAACTTTTCCTTTTCTATCAAAGCAGTTTAGGGTAAACTTCAGATAAAGACAGAATCAATGGACTTTCCAAAAATAAGTTTTAGGTATTTGTCATTTAAATTGTTCTCCTCCATAAAGCTGTCAAAGAAAATATCCAGCTATTATTTCTCCTGGAGCTCAAGTAGTTCCTCTCAGGTTTCATCATTTTATTTAGAACACCTCAATACACAAACATGAAGCGCTTCTGCCTTTTTCTGCTTTGAAATGGTTTATTTAGTCCTGTTAAATAAATAGCTGTGTTTACATGTGCCAAATTTCCTCAATCCGATTGAAATCTTGGTTGATCGGAATTTCTGAACCTCTGTTCACATTGACACGAACTGAAATGATCCGATCATGCCGTGCGTACATATGCACCAAGCATTTAATCCGATTAAATATGTTGAGCATGCGCAGAGTTGCTTTTCCCGAAAGAAAAATTGTAAACAAACGCCATGAAACAAAATGAAAAATGTAAAAACAGAAATAACCATTCTTCCTGCTTTCCTGATCCATTTATTCAATTTAATATTTTTATTTAGCTCATAGAAGTTACGTTTTCTTCAGTGGATAACTGCAGGTATATGCTTTGCTGCATTTTATTGTTGATTAAAATAAGGGAGGGTTATGTCTCTGCCTCTTGATCAGCTGGTCCGCAGGTCTCTGCGGCACAGAGTGGGGGGGTGGGGTGGGGGGTTAGACTCATATTTTATTACTGAGCTCTGTTGTGGCTTATTATTAATAACATGTGACAATCAGCTGAAACTGTTGAGAAAAATCTGTTCAAACAAAATAACAGAAGATGTTCAGAAAGTTTAGAAACCTGTGTTCATCATTAATGAACCGCATCTCAGGTCATCCGCGTTTACGTGCTTTTAACACGGACTTTACTGTCGTCGTCGTCTTCCTCCGCTTATCCGGGTCTGGGTCGCGGGGGCAGCATCCCAACTAGGGAGCTCCAGACCGTCCTCTCCCCAGCCACCTCAACCAGCTCCTCCGTCAGGACCCCAAGACGTTCCCGGACCAGATTGGAGATGTAACCTCTCCAACGTGTCCTGGGTAGACCCGGGGGCCTCCTGCCGGCAGGACATGCCCGAAACACCTCCCGGGGTGGGGGTGGGGGGCAGGAGGCATTCTGATCAGATGCCCAAACCACCTCAACTGGCTCCTTTCGATCCAGAGGAGCAGCGGTTCTACTCCGAGTCCCTCCCGAATGTCCGAGCTCCTCACCCTATCTCTAAGGCTGAGCCCGGCCACCCTACGGAGGAAACTAATTTCGGCCGCTTGTATCTGCAATCTCGTTCTTTCGGTCATTACCCAAAGCTCATGACCATAGGTGAGAATTGGGACGTAGATCAACCGGTAAATCGAGAGCCTGGCTTTCTGGCTCAGCTCCCTCTTCCCCACGACATATCGGCTCAGCGTCCGCATCACTGCAGACGCTGAACCAATCCGCCTGTCGATCTCCCGATCCTTCCTACCCTCACTCGTGAACAAGACCCTGAGATACTTAAACTCCTCCACTTGAGGTAGGACCTCTCCCCCGACCCGGAATTGGCAAGCCACCCTTTTCCAGTCGAGAACCATGGTCTCAGATTTGGAGGTGCTGATCCTCAGACCACCACCCCGGTCTGCCACTCCACAGGAACTGCCCCCGATGACCACGCAATGGTGCAGAGACGTGTCAACCATGACAGCCCTACAACATCCATAGCCTTGAGATACCCAGGACGAACCTCATCCGCCCCCGTGGCTCCGCCGCTGTGTAGTTGTTTGACTACCTCAGCAACTTCTGCCCCTGAGATTGGACAGTCCATCCCCAGGTCTCCCGGCTCTGGTTCCTCCTCGGAATGCGCATAGGTGGGATTGAGGAGCTCCTCAAAGTATCCCTTCCACCATCCAACTATAGCCCCAGTTGACGTCAGCAGCTCCCCATTCCCACTGTAAACAGTGTGAGCGAGTTGCTGCCTTCCTCTCCTGAGGCGCCGGACAGTTTGCCAGAACCTCTTTGGAGCCGATCGATAGTCTTTCTCCATGGCCTAACCAAACTCCTTCCACGCCCGAGATTTTGCCTCGGCAACTGCCACTGCTGCACCCCGCTTGGCTATCCGGTACCTGTCTGCTGCCTCCGGAGACCCACAGACCAGCCAAGCCCTGTAGGCCTCCTTCTTCAGCCTGACGGCTCCCCGAACCTCTGGTGTCCACCAGTGGGTACGGGGGTTGCCACCACGACTGGCACCGGCTACCTTGCGACCACAGCTACCAACAGCCGCCTCAACAATCGCAGAGTGGAACAAGGCCCACTCGGAGTCAATGTCCCCCACCACTCTCGGGACTCCGTCAAAGCTCTGCCGGAGGTGGGAGTTGAAGACCGTCTTAACAGATTCTGCTGCCAGGCGTTCCCAGCAGACCCTCACTATGTGTTTGGGTCTGCCAGGTCTATGCGGCATCTTCCCCTGTCATCTGATCCAACTCACGATCAGGTGGTGATCAGTTGACAGTTCCGCTCCTCTCTTCACTCGGGTGTCCAAAACATACGGCCGCAGGTCAGATGATACGACTACAAAGTCTATCATCGACCTGCGACCTAGGCTGCCCAGGTACCAAGTGTACAGATGGGCATCCTTATGTTCGAACATGGTGTTCGTTATGGCCAAACTGCGGCTTTCACAGAAGTCCAATAATGAAACACCACTCGAGTTCAGATCAGGCGGGCCGTTCCTCCCAATCACACCCCTCCAGGTCATGCTGTCATTGCCCACGTGAGCATTGAAGTCCCCCTGCAGGACAATGGAGTCCTCTGATGGAGCACTACCTAGCACTTGTCCCAGGGACTCCAAAAAGGGTGGGCACTCTGAACTGATATTTGGCCCATAGGCACAAATAACAGTCAGGACCCGTTCCCTGACCTGAAGGCGCAGGGAAGCTACCCTCTTGTCCCCCGGGGTAAACCCCAACACACAGGCAGAGAGTCTTGGGGCTAACAAAAAGCCAACCCCAGCCCTCCGCCTCTCACCCGGAGCAACTCCAGCAAAGGAGAGTGTCCAACCCCTCTCAAGGACTTGGGTTCCAGAGCCAATGCTATGTGTCGAGGTGAGTCCGACTATATCTAGCCGGTACCGCTCAACCTCTGCCACAAGCTCCTGCTCCTTCCCGCCAGCGAGGTGATGTTCCATGTCCCAAAAACTAGTTTTCTTGTCTGGGGATCGGACCGCCAAGGTCTGCCACCCGATCCACATTGCACCGGACCCTTCATGTTCCTCCTGCGGGTGGTGGGTCCACAGTTGGATGAGCCCATGTATCCGGCTTGGGCTGGGCCCGGCCGGGCCCCATGGGCGAAAGCCCGGCCACCAGGCGCTCGCTCACGGGCCCCAACCCCAGGCCTGGCTCCAGGGTGGGACCCCGGTAACCCTCCGGGCCGGGTACTCCGACTCTTTGACTTTACCTCCATGAAAGATCCTGTATTTAACCGAGGACGTTTTCCTACCCAACATCAGCCTCCAATCAGGTCTGTAAAACCCATATTATCCTGTGTTCTTTACAAGCGCGTCTCCATCACCTGCTGCACAAGCTGCTGCGTTCAAAGCTGACAGAAATGGGGATCCGTGCGCTGCAACCCCGGCAATAAACCTGCGTATTTCCAGTACAGATTTGAACATGTTTGTCGAATGATTTGTGCAATAATCAGATTTTTATTTTACTTCCACAAAATGCAAGTTCTAAATTAAATATTACTGAAACGGGACGGCTTGTTGTCGGATTTAAAAGCCGCCGCTCGTTAATTACGCCGTCATTTTTGAAGTCAGGCAGTCCAAATGACAGCGGAGAGGCCCGCTCCCTGTTGCACACATGCACAGTGGGCATTATTTTACCCCAACAATCCGAATGGCTGTATACATGCACGTCAATTGGAATGAAGAACGGAATAAACCACTTCTCTCAATCGGATTGAAATTTCAATCCGATTGGGCCGAATCGGATCAGAATATTCCGATTGACATGTTTACATGCAGAATTTTCGATCTGATTGGGCATTCAATCCGATTAAATATGCGCATGTAAACGTGGCTACCGTTTAATCTCATGAGCACAACACCAGTTCGGAAATGATGTCCATCTAGAAAGAATAGTGAGTTGTGGGATTCAAATAGGAGCTGATGAGTCATTCTCCGATCTGCTGATGGGAGTAACATGAACACTTACCCAGACTGGAGACCACGGTGCTCGTCAGCTCTGAACCCATTAGTCCTGCAGACAGACACAAACATACATGTTTATTTAACAGCATAAAGGTCACATTTATGGGTGCAGGGCCAGCTGAGTCTAGACAGTATTTATTATAGTTGTGTTGAACCGTTCTGGCTTTATAGATGCTCATTTTCTACCACCCTGACAGCATCAGCAGTCCACCAACATTCTATACAGTAAATCATTTTGTCTTTATTTTACATTCAAAAACTATTAAAGATCTCATTCACTGATAAAACCATTTAATACTTGTTTTTGTTTTAAATATGATTGGTCACTCTAAGTTTTACAAGTCTGTTTCATCCACATCACTGTCATGGTCTGCATCTGCCCCCCTCCTTTATGTGCCTCCTGGTGTCCTCCATCCTCTGTTTTCTGTTTTCCCCATTGAGCTGATTAGTGTCACCTGCCTTCCCTCCAGCAGCTCACCCCACGCACCTGCTTCCTGTTTCCCTGATTGCTCCTCCCAGTGTATTTAAGCCCTGTCTGTCTCTGTGTCCTTGTTGGTCCATTGTTTCTTGTCAGTCTCGTCAGCTCTCTAGCTTCTAGTGTTTTTGGATCTCTGGTTTAGTCATTTGGATTTTTGGTTTTGGCTCCCTGCCTTTGGACTACTCCTAAATAAAGGATTTATTTTCATCCTCTACCTCCTGCCTGGTTCATCTGGTTTTCTGCATTTTGGGTCCTAAACATCCTACTACACCAAAACGTGACAATCACCAACTGCAGAGTTGGGTCAGGAGGTAGCCGTTGCGGCACATAACCTTATTTACTTTGTTGACTGGGTGTAAAAATGCCCTAATTCCGTGCGATCAGGACAAAAACAAACGTTTTTTTTTCATGTCTCGAAAGTAGTGCGCCACAAAGGACTTACTGAAACTTACTGAACGAAGACGTAATAGTGGATCATAATCTCCGGCTGCAAGATGAGCTGAAATGGAATGGAAAATGCTACAGTCCGCAGTGATCACTTCATCACAGGTAAGGTTTTTATGGTGTTTTAATTGAACGCTTGGAAACGCAGCTACAAAAACAGCAGGTAAACAGTTTGATACTGTTTTTATATATTCTCACCGTAAATAGAGGGTTAATAAAATCAAACAAATATACCAGAAATTTGAATTTAAAATGGCATAAAATGTTAGTTATAAGTAGATGCTAGCAGGTACTCACAATTGGCATTAACTATCATTACTTGCGTAATTAAAATAATTGCATAATTAAAATTGCACATCTAACAAGCATAAACAAGAGAACGGTCATTTAAAGCTGCTCCGGATCTCTAAATTGTTAACCAACCTGAAATAAAATAGTTGTAGGCTTTCAGACTCCTAAAAGGCTTTTGGTGTGCAGTGTAATACAATATTTGCCACATGAGTTTGTTATGTGTGTTATGTATAGTTTGTTGTGTGTCGATCGCATCAGCGTTGGGTAAATCCTGCAGCAAAATAACAGTTTGTTGTAAATGTTCGATATGCATACGCATGTGCAATGTTAACTGTACATGTTCAATAAACTAACCTAGTGTTTTATAGGTTCAAATAGACACAAAATCTTGGTAGTTTATTTTGCTCAAATTGAAATTGAGGCCTGCCTCTAATTCTAGCCTCCTTCCAGTAAAGGCCTGAACCAGAATGCACTTGAGTAAAAAAAGGTCCGGACCTGTATTAGAGGATTTACGGTAATTTTAGTTAGAAAATACTTCAGAAATCGTTTTTTAAAATTATAACCTCCTTTAGTAAAAAAAAACCCTAATGTAAATGTTTTTTCTTCTTTTGCCCTAAAATTTTCCAGAGTCCTCTACGATAGAGGAGGAGAAATGAAACCAAGTGACACGGGTTCCCAGTGATGATGAAGGTTATAAACTCACCTGCATTTCCGGCGCTGGAAGGCCTTTGAGGGGACATGCTGCTCCTTTGGAGGGAGGAGTGTGACATGGGCAGCAGGTTATGAGAGTTCACACCGCCCCCTATGCCCTGGTGGGAGTACAGCAGCCCACTGGGATTGCCTCCTGAGATGGACACCCCCATGTCGTAGCTGGAGGGAGGCAGACCCTGCTACAGGACCAGGAGGTCTCAGTCATTACACTGATTTAAACACCTAATGGTGTAAAAGATTTGGAGGTGAACTTACACACATTCTCTGTCTGTTGATCATCAGGTCAATGTCTTCATTAAATTTCCGGTACTTGTCGTCTAACTCTGGGCTCTGGCCAGCAGAGTCGTCGGCTTCAATGTCAGGGCTCTCACAGCCGTTTAAACCCTTCTTACGCAGCGTCTGGTGGTAAACAAACACATAAACACCTGATGGATCTAGATCGTTGTCTTTTGTCTTTAGAGGTCAGACGGGTGCCTCAAAAGTAAAACTGTGTTTTGTTAAACTGCTGCTATCTGTTTGTTTTACAGATTTATGTATAGATTTATTTAGGCACGTCGCAGTTTCAGGTAAATGTACAACCAGACAGACACATGACACACCTGTAAGTTTCAATAGCTTTCAGAGTGACTCTACCAAGAATAGAATACTTTCATCATAAAGAGATAAAATCAGTCATTTCTCCTCAGGACATGGCAGAGACATTTTAGGATAACTTTTCATTGACTTCCATCTCCTTGTGGAGCTCCTACGTTACAGGATGTTGGTCTTCTTATTCTGGACTGATAGAATAATGAAGTCAGACCCACACATGTTAACCACAAGAGGGCGCTCTGTGAGCAAAATATGCACAAGTCGAAAGTCTGTAAGCACTGAACATAAGCAGCCTGTTCCTCTGATTCCCACATATTTAACACGTGGAAAAGAACAAACATTCAGATGAGGATGCCTCAAAACTGTGAAGTGTGTGTCACATGTCAACGCTGAGAAATATCACACAAGGATTGTGTGTGTGTGTGTGTGTGTGTGTGTGTGTGTGTGTGTGTGTGTGTGTGTGTGTGTGTGTGTGTGTGTGTGTGTGTGTGTGTGTGTGTGTGTGTGTGTGTGTGTGTGTTTTGCCTGGCTATGGCCTGCTTCAGTACTTCTAGCCTATTAGTCCAGTCTGTCACTGGATGAATGCTGCAGGGTCTCTTACACACACACAGACACACACAGTGGTTGGACCAGCTATCCCACTCATCCTAGTCATGTCCACCTGTTCTACTTCACAGAGGGGGAGGGGGTTGTGTGGTTAGGGGAAAGGAGGAGGAGGGTGAGGCAGCTCCCACCAATGCAGGCCGGGCTGCTGGAGGCATGGCCGTAGAAGGCTAGTTTTTGCTCCAGGGCTTCTCGTCACTCCCTTCCCTCCCTCACAATCTGTCAATCTGGCTGCTCTATTAAAACATAAAACTGACTGTGGTAACCTACTTTTCCAGCTTCACACACACACACACACACACATCAAGGGACTATTTTGGTAACCGCTCTCTACTACATAATAATCAAATGTTCGGACGTGCATGTGTTATTGTGTTTATGTATAAAAGTACTTCACAATGTTGTAAGCAGCCATGCCACAGCACTTGAAATACAACCGGCACCTATCTTCAGCGCCTCGGCGTGGACTGGTGCTTCTGGGTTGTGGTGTTATACTACCCATGTAATCACTCTCAGTAACTATAATGGCTTCTTTTAAAAATGGTGGCGCGGGCAAATACCCTAACCCTAACCACCCGCAGGTGTGGTAACATTGTAGATGCCTGAAATCAATAATAAAATTTTTTTTTTATCATATTTATATTATTATTATTATTAAACAATATAAAACCAATTCTGTACAAATTTCAGAGGGAAGTGGATCTACGTTGAGAAACATGATTGATGAGCTGAGCAGGGTCACAGAGTGGATTGCTGCTTAAAACAGCTCCTAAATGACCACAGTAGTTTTTGTTAAAGGGATACTTTGCATCTTTTTCCCATTTTTAAATAATTTTCTTGAGCCAGTATATGCTACAATGACCTTTAACAGGGTAAATGAAATGTCACTCAGACCCCTACTCCGTAGTTTATGCTTCTGCATCAGCTCCACAAGAGACAGACCCACACGCACTGATGGAGATGTTTTGCTCTCTAACTTCACCTGGGGAGTATTGCAAAGCAACTCCCCACCAGGACAACAGAGAGTGTCACACATTTCTGGGGTATCCTGTCATGTATCCAGTCCAACGTAGTGCATTTACTTTTGTGTTTTGGGGCAGCAGTAGCTCAACAGGTTGAGCGGGTTGTCCAGTAATCGGAAGGTTGCAGCTTCGATCCTGGCTCCGGACAGAGAATTCTGCTGTTGTGTCCTTGGACAAGACACTTAACCCACCTTGCCTGCTGGTGGTGGTCGGAGGAACCGGTGGTGCCTGTGCTCGGCAGCCTCACCTCTGTCAGTGCACCCCAGGGCAGCTGTGGCTACATCATAGCTCATCACCATCAGTGTGTAAATGTGTGTGTGAATGGATGAATGCAGTGTAAAGCGCTTTGGAGTCCTTACTCTGAGAGGCGCTATACAAGTGTGGGTCATTTATCATTTATCACATTTATTTATTTTGTGTTTTTTGTATTTCAGAGACTTTTTAACACGAACAAATCTGTCCCTCATTCTCCTCCAACTCTTCATGCATTCACCACCTACAAAGCCACGTTTCCTGTCATTTCCATCCACAAATAAAATGCTGAGTTTTTTTCGTGAGGTATCCTTCATGCTGCTCCATGTCTGCAGCTATATATCTTCGACTCTCTTCGCAATGGTGGTGCTGTTGATGAATTTAAAAGAAGTAGCATCCTGGCCAAGCTTGCGATCTCCGTCTCATTCGACAGATGTTTAGAAATGTGGGCTTGACTCCGTCCGTCCTAGCGAGCCTGTTGGAGAGCCCTTGCAAGGACGGATAACGTTGTGCATGTCTCTGTACCGACGCAAAAGCAGAAACATGAATGTTTTAGATTGTGAACTCAGCTGATTTGTTTAATTTAGGGATGAATCACTCCTGTGGACACCAATGAAGGCTGAGGAGACATTCTAGCTGGAACGCACAACAAGGAGATACGTAGGTTTCATTTTTTGTTTGATCACAAAGAATTAACAATGGACGCTAGGGGGTGCTAGAAGCTAGCAAAACTGCTTAGCATCCCTTTAATGTTATTTGAGGAAGCTTTACACCACTGCACATTTCATATTACATGGCTCAAAAGGAGTAATCTCTGGTGCAGTCTCTGTCGCTTCCTGCAGAAATATTCCTGCAGGAAGCGACAGAGACTGCACCAGAGCAGCTGCTGCTTTGGGTGGACATCACTTAGTCAAAAATTGTGTAATGTGATAGAAAGGCTTATAAAATAGTGTTTGCATGAATTATTCTGACATTTATGATATTGTAGTTTTTTTCTAGTTATAGAAAACACACTTGTCCCTTAAGCCACAGCCACAGCGTGAACAATTTCCATGTTTCTGGCTTTGAGATGGTCTGTTGAACGATGCATCTCTAGTGAAAACACAACTCACCAGCAGGTGATGCTGCAGCACAACAGCAGCTCTACTCAAGCAACAAACACTATACTACCCATACTACCAAGAAGATGCACTGGCAGCAGGATCTAGAGAACACCTGCAGCTCAAAATGAATTACTGCCTAAAAACCAGCAACATTTTACAAATAAACTGGTTTATTGTCATGTGATATTTAGCCATATTGAAACAAATAACTATAACAATGTAAGCGTTGGTTGTTTGTGTAAGAGATAACCATCAAACAGGATGCAGGGTGAGAGTCTGGGATGTACCAAGCCCCAACAATGCGGGTGAAAAATTGAGGCCAACGCGGAAGTGACAAAAATTGCAGTTCCACCCTCATCCGCTGGGGGCTGGTGTCAGAAGCGAGCAAATCCTCATTGACTCCCATGTTAAAAATACCAATTTCACAGCAGAAATAAACATGTTTACAGCCTGGTACCAAAACATGTTTTTGGTTTAAATTATCTAGTTGACACTCATGACAACTCTGAGGGGGTGAATTTTTTTCTCACTCTTCTGTTTAAGTGTATTAAAAGACTAAAATTCTGTATAATTAATGAGCATCAGACCCACGTGACCACAGAGCTAGCTCCGTGGAAAGGCCTCAGTAGAGCCTCGGTCTGGCTTGGAAACTGCTCCTGGATTTTGAGTCTCTGTGTTTGTGTATTCTTTTTTGGATATTTTTTGTGCAATTGTTGGACAAAATGACTTGCTGTGGCATTAATTGCACTAATAGAGCGTCCAAGGAGTCTCCACTTCATTTTTTTCGGTAAGTAAAATTATATTTATGTATTTTAGGTCACTGCCGAGCTGAGCTTAGATTTTAACATGTACTGTTTAACCATGAAATTTAAATGTAATAGGGTAAAACCCAGTGCATTTAACATAATGCTGCACTTTAGAAAATGGGTTGAAATATAACATGTTGGTGGAGCTGGGTTCCGACTATCGGCTTGTGGAGCTCTCGGGAGACCGATGTTTTCCACCCGTTCTCCCCTCCCTGCAGCTCGGCGCATCTCTGTCTGATCGCGGCTCCTGTCTGCTACGCGGACTGTCGGCTTGTGGAGGTCTCGGAGACCTCTGTGTTCCACCCGGTTTTACCCAGCGGTCAGCCCGGCGTATCTCTGACTCAGAAGCTCTGGTGTTGTGCACAGTTAACTCCGGTTGTAGCTAGGTTGCTACCTCCGTTAGCTTAGCTCCCACCTCTGCATTAGCTTTGGGTTAGCTTCAGGTTAGCTTGTAGCTAGTTCGACCGGGTGTCGTCAGTTGATCCCAGCCTTACAGCCCCACCCTCAGCTCCACCTCTCTTCCCTTTTGGGGAATTGTCTGGGCTTGACGGAACCTGTGACAAGGTCAAAATGGCGGTGGTGGCCACCTCCCATTTATCTTCCAAAACTTGTTATTGGAGTCTATGGAAACCCATTGTCCAATATCCATTGTCCAATATTTATATGTTGATGGGATGTACCAAAGGAGGCCTAAAGCAAAAGTGAGTTTTATTTCAATGTTGTGCTTCAACTCTTAGGTTTGAGAGAACAAATACTATATATATATATATATATATATATATATATATATATATATATATATATATATATATATATATACACACACATATATAGAAATATTCCTGTTTCTTTACCTTCTAATCAGTATTATTATAAAGTATATTCTAATGCTCAAACTAATATTTGAATGTGAATATCAGCAGTATACATTTTGGATTAGAGCACTCACTCCTCCTTTGCGGATGTAAACAGTAGTGGTCAGAAAAGGAAAAAGGAAGGATAAAAGAGGTGGTAGAGGAGGA